GTGTAATTACCTGAATTACAAGTGATTTGTAGGCAGTCAGTGTGTGAGCAATAAAGGAGGACACAAGTGTCACTATAGCAGATCTGACAGCGAACACCCAGCCTGCCTCCTCCTGCATTCCCATCTGCTGCAGTTGTCTGGCTAGCCCAGGGCTTTGGAGACACACATCTGGTGTGAGCAAGCACAGCTGATGGCCTGCACACATGCTATCTATCATTGCATGATCTTTATTTAAGGAAAATTAAGTCATTAAAGGAAAAAAAAAATAATGTAAGCCCCAAAGCCCACCTCCCAACTCCAAAACAAAGGAGCACCATAAACATGTTGTTGAGATAGAATACAAGACACAGTCCCCCTCCCCTCTGGTTCCATCCCAGGGTTCTCTCCCCTTTGTTCTGCTCAAGATCTGGCATATCTAGGCCAGCATTTACTAATTACCAGGAAATAAAAACCCGTGGCTGAAAAGTGATAAAGGAAAATTCTCACGTTTAAACCCTATGTTAATTTGACAGCAGAAAAAAAAGCTTCCTCAGAAGAACTTTAAGAAAACAAAAAAAAATTGCATTAGTGGATAATTGGAGCTCAAGCTGGGTGCATTATATAATAGCACTTCCCAATCCAGCTGTTTCACCCCTTTCCCCATCCCTCCGAGCACAAGACACAGTAATAGTTACCACACCTTAGAAACTTTCTAGACCACACCTTTCTTAGAAATCTTAGAAAGGTGTGGTCTATCGTTGTTGAATTACATCAGATCTTGAACTTGAATCCACAAGTAGTTAGAACATGCCAATGACTACAGCAGAGAGAAAGAAGAAATTAAGTAGGAAAACCCCCTGCTGAATGCTTACCCTAAATAATCCTTTTTTTTTTTTTTTCCCTGTTTTTCATAGAATCGTTTAGGTTGGAAAAGACCCTTGAAGTTATTTTCAGGTTAGTAAAAAAGACTTGCCTAGAGGTTTGTTTGGAGAACGGGAAGTAGGTGAGGAGAAGGGGGCTGGCATACCATCAGCTGCTAGCAGCGTGCAGAACATGTGTGTGCAAGGAAGAATTCCTGTGCTTCAGGCAAAGCCAGAAAGGCCAGGAAGGTGCTGGGGAGTCTGCAGGGTGTGTGACTGGCAGGGTGTGCAGCCTCCCCAGCCCAGCCACCAGGGCACAGCTGGACAGACAGGGCTGGACATTCCCATTGCCAGCAAAGCTAGCAGTTCTCCTGCGTGGACATTTGATAAGTTAAGGCATCTGCTTAACTTTGATCTCACCTGGTCTAGAGGAAAGTGTCCCTGCCCACGGCGGGAGGGTGGAACGAGAGGAGCTTTAAGGTCCCTTCCAAGCTGCCAAATTCAGCCCAAATACATGAATTAGCATTGTTTGGTTCATGGCTGCTTTCTGAGGTGCTTGTCAAATTATGACACACACTGAAAAAAAAAGTTGTTTTCTTAAAGAAACATTTAAAAGGATTGAAAATGAGAAATATTAGGAGCATATTCAGATTTTCTGAAGGGGGAAAGAAATCCCTGAGTAGTCTGCAGAAGTTATTGTAGTGCTAGTTTTATTGGTATATTTGCAATAAATCCATGGGTTTATATATAGAAACAGAACTGTGTTAGCATTCTGTGAGGAAAAGGCTATTTTGGTCTGTTCGTCCACTAAGGAGATAAAGCAGACTGTTATGTCAGCCTTGACAGCAACTCAGTGTTTTCCTGGATATGTTTAAGCAAAGGGGTTTATAACTAACTGTTCACCATATGGAGGGAGAATATGTGATGCAGCCTAAAGCTATTTCCTTTGAAAGCAGAGCTTTGTCCTGTAATAAAGCCATGAATGGAAAAGCCTGTTGTTAACCTGACAAAACAAGGTATCTGGCACGGTTTGATTGCAGCACATTTCACCAGATTAAATTTGCGATTCCCTCTATTAGTACCTGCAGTGGGATATAGGATAAGTGGGTCTGTGATTTTTTTTTGGCTAGGGACCTCTAAAGAGAGCTTTAGGTGTCTGTGAGGAGCTGGTTAGTCCAGAGCCACATGGGACTCACCACTGAGGCTGTGAGACCACTCCAAGCCTTAGTGGGGTGAGAAGGGACAGAGGTCTGGGACAGTGCTTAAATCAGGCAGTATTTGCTGAGTCCACTGGATTTTTTTGAACAGAAGGGTATGGTGTGCTGTGCTGCCCTGGAGCTCTGCCAGCTACTCCAGGCACAGGGATTTTCCAGGCCGAGGGGTTATGATATTGAGTGCACAGTTTTGGCTTCCTTTCTGCTGATGTCCATGAAATCACTATGGAAAGACCAGACTAGTGGTTTTCATGCAGGAGACATCAGCTGTCTCTTGTATTCTCCAAAACTTCCTCCTCTGAGGGACAGCAGAGAGGAACAGACTTTAACTCCCATCAGAGCAGGAATAGCTCCACTGCAGCTTTTTGCTCCATCCTTGTCCTCTCTGCAGGGAGGAAAAACTGCTCCTGGAAGCTTTTCCTCCTCCTTTGTGTCAGAGGCAGCCCGAGTGGGGAGGCCGAAGCACAAGGGAGTATCTTTTCCAGGTGTGTGGGGGCCTTTTCCTTTCCAATACAATCCTGGTGTGTGCTCCTTTGTCCCTGTCCTGACCTCCCACCATGGAAGACAAGGCAGTGTTAGAGCAACATGCACCCACCAGTAATGGTGAACTCTCCTTCTGTTTTCACTAGTGAGCAGGAGGGAAAATATTCATCAAAGCAAACACTAAACCGGGCTGTTGGAAAGTAGGGTGATTGTTACAGGTTAGAACAAGACCAAGAGTCTTAGTTGTTACATGTTCTAGCCAGACCTTTGTGTTTGGTTATAATAATATACATTTATATTTACGTGGAATAAAAGACAATAACCAGAGGTATTTAGCATGAGCAGGTGTACATGTCAGGGCTTAAATTCAGTGAAGGATGTAAAAGAATTGTTGCCCTTCTTTTTTGTCTGGGAGTATTATCTTACTAATTGTGGAACACAGGTCTGCACAAGATGTCCTGAGTAAGAGCAGAGATAATCACTGACATTATGTAAATAATGCTGCAATGATAGATTTTTTTAATTAACAGTCTTAGGGGATAAGAATCATGGCCATAATTTTGAAATCATTTGCAAGTAAATGTACTGTATGTAACCAAAGTAACCTCTGGAGCACAGCAATGAGGAACAAGGGTTAGGAACTCAATCTGAGGAGATGGGACATGTCCAGAAAAGGATAATTCTCCTAAAGGGGAATGGTATTCCCATCACCACCTTGGAGAAATCCTAAATGTTAGATGCCCATACATCAGTCAGTAGGTCAGCACTTTCATCAGACATAGCTATTGCCACAAAGACTCAAATTGGCTTTCTACAGTGGGATATAACCATACATTTTAATTTATCTCTTTTTGTTTGTTTGTTTTGGTTTGGTTTGGTTTTGGTTTTGTTTTTTGGCTGGCTGAGGGCCCCTATAAAGGGTTTCAGGTAGAAATGATGAAATAATTGATGTAGCACCAATTCTTCTGATTATTTGTAATGTGATTATTTGCTACTGTTCAATTTTTATTTATAGGCTTACACTACTTAATGGAGACAGGGGGATTTTAATGGCAGGAGGTAAAGTGAGTATTTGTGAAACTCACATTCCCACCTTGACCAGTGTTTTTGTCCGAGCCGAACACCAGTGTTTAGTACATGGAGAAAGTAAATATTGAGAAAAACATTGTAAAATATAAAAGAAATAAAAAAAAAAGAAAGGAAACTTTGAAGCTAATGCACAGAGAAGCATCGGGACTAGCAAAACAAAGGCTAGTCCTTGATTACTTATGGGTTTAAAATT